AACCTAGATCGTAGTCTGACTTCTCAATGAGTCCTGAACTAAAGGTTCTTATATAACCCACTTCGTCACAATTGATGCTACACAACCTAGATCGTAGTCTGACTTCTCAATAATCCCTGAGCTATAGGTTTTTATATAATCCACTTCATCACGGCTGATGCTACACAACCTAGATCGTAGTCTGACTTCTCAATGAACCCTGAACTATAGGTTCTTATATAACCCACTTCATTATTATTAATTATTATACATTTAATGGGATATTATTTTTGATTTTCTTGTTTGCACTCGATAAATGTTTCATATAAATTAGCTTATTAACTAGATCACTTTTTGTGTGTGTACTTGTGACCAAACAGTCTATTTCAAATCCATTTAATACTGACTTCCAGTGAGAACAAAGAAGTAACTGACGTGCTAGCCCGAGTAAAATCGGCAACATCCGAACGTATGTCGGATATGCCCGAAGGTGAGGAAGGTTGGCGATCGTATTACGAGCACCCTTTAACAGCAGCAACTTCAGCCATGTTGAACATCAATGGTGGCGGGGAAGAACATAATACAAGTATGGGATTGCTATATGAATACTACAAACTTCCACCAATGGAGAAAGGAGAAAAGACTTTACTGGAAAAATACGCATCTCTTCCCGAGATGTGGAGGTAAGAAATACGTCATAAAATGTTTATAATGTGCAGTTTTAGACAGGTCAGAAGATACTTAATATTATATTTATGTTAAGGAGGTAACAAGATACTTAGCATGTTGTCTATTATATAGGTAAGAGAGGGTGACAGGTAACAAGATACTCAGTACTGTATTTATATTAAAGAGGTAGACAGGTCAGAAGATATTTAGCATGTTGTCTATTATATAGGTAAGAGAGGGTGACAGGTAACAAGATACTTAGTATTGTATTTATATTAAAGAGTAGACAGGTCAGAAGATACTTAGCATCTACTACCTGTCACCCTCTCTTACCTATATAATAGATGCTAAGTATCTTCTGACCTGTCTACTCTTTAATATAAATACAATACTAAGTATCTTGTTACCTGTCACCCTCTCTTACCTATATGGCAAGATACTTAGTATTGTATTTATATTAAAGAGGTAGACAGGTCAGAAGATACTTAGCATGTTGTCTATTATATACGTAAGAGAGGGTGACAGGTAGCAAGATACTTAGCATCTATTATATAGGTAAGAGAGGGTGACTGGTAACAAGATACTTAGTATTGTATTTATATTAAAGATGTAGACAGGTCAGAAGATACTTAGCATGTTGTCTATTATATAGGTAAGAGAGGGTGACAGGTAACAAGGTACTTAGTATTGTATTTATATTAAAGAGGTAGACAGGTCAGAAGATACTCAGTACTGTGTTTATAATACAGAAAAGACAGGTGAGAAGTTAGTTAGTGTTGTGTTTGTAATAATTGGTGGTAGAAAAATATCTATAACAATAAATTAGACAGGTTAAAAGATACTTAGTATAAAATTTGTCTTATGTAGTTGGACAGGTGAAGATGCATTTTCCAAGTTCGTGCCCCATGTTGATTAATTAGATTGAGGTCTGGAGAATGTGGGAAGTGCTCGTCTATTTTGTCATTGTGGATGGGAGCACTGTTGTCTCGGGGTTACTATACATGAAGCATTGTTGGATGTACTTGATTACTGTGCTATTCATTCTGCCTTCCTAGTAACATAAGACTGAATTACAGAAGTAAGACAGATGGAAAAGAACGAAGTTTCCAAAGACTGCCGCTCTACTAGGCAATTCGCCTTTGTTTGTTCATCAGTTAAATATGGTCTTGAGAGCTGACTTCTATGCACACTGGAGTCTTGGGAAACGTTTGTTTAATAATGACTTTACCAACCTACACAGGAACTTGGTATTTATGATATCGAACAATATAAGTAAATATGGTCAGAATGTCCATCAAACTGACGATGGAAGTAGTAGTTTCAAGGGGAACACAGTATTGGAACACAGTTTTAGACATCATGTGTAGCATATTGAAGACAGAGAAAATAGTTTCTATGGCAACATGAGACTTGGTTTCAGTTATCATCACCAGTATATTGCCTATTAAAAAAATAGTTTTTAGGGCAACACGGGACTTGTAACATGGCAAGGTTACAAATTCAAAGCACTAAATACTCAAACGATCAAAGTTTGTAAGTACACAACTTAAAAACTTTATATTGAGACCGTGAACAGACAGGCGATAGTTTCTATGTTAATCACGTCATCCTCAGGAGTGTAAGATCAAGACTCGGTTACAAACCACTTGTACCAGAACAACTAGCCATGCGACCCGTAGTACTACATAACATATATATACAGCAGAACCTAAAGAAGGTCGCGCCATCTACATACTTCCTGACCTTTCATCTTTATTCAAGATATAATAATTATTTTTACTGTGTTTAATTATTTCTACAGATTCTCTGATATTTCTAGAAGGTATCGTCTTTCATGGTCGGCCAATGCGGAATTTTTGACATTTCTCTTGTGTTCGTTTATTTAAAATTTAAATGTTCTTTTAGTTTGACCGATGTATAACCAACCACATTCACATTCAATTTTATAAATTCAAGTTTTTTCGTTACATTTATTACAACTTTAGTTTTATCTAATATCTTACTATTTTGATTTAAAGGCTTATAAATCGTAAAATGATTTGACATGATAAACCTGGAACGTATGAAAAAAATAGCATTTACATTTATATTTTATCAAAAGTTGATCTTAGCTTAACTTTTTGATCGTCATTTGTAATTCCACTGAAATTTATAACGGTTCTATCAATAACTTTATGTAAAATACTTCTATCTAGTGCTACATATTCAAATAATAATAACGGTTCTATCAATAACTTTAGGTGAGAAACCTCTGTCTAGTGCTACATATTTAACTAATAATACCGGTTCTATCAATAACTTTAGGTGAGGAACCTCTGTCTAGTGCTATATATTTAACTAATAATAACGGTTCTATCAATAACTTTATGTGAGGAACCTCTGTCTAGTGCTATATATTTAACTAATAATAACGGTTCTATCAATAACTTTATGTGAGGAA